AATGAATTCAATGTATATATATGTTGGGGTATCATAAAACTAATGTCTTCAGCATACCATTTTTTACCAGTGCTCATATTGCAATTTTTGCTGTTATCATACATGTTTTTACCAGAGTTCATATTGCCTTCACTGCCTTAACCGGGTATTGAACTCACACTCTTTGGGTCCTGTCACTGGATCTAACCAACGCCTTTATTCATTGAGGACAGTCTACCCCAGTGAGCGAAATAAAGGGTTCAGTTCAACATTCCAACCACCTGAAGAAAGCCGAAGTGTACAACAGCCAAAACTTTGTAATAAATATGGCAACAAAGATGAGGACAATAGTCCGAAAAATGTAAATAATATACATAATACCTCATCTCAGAAATATAGACAGATACTGAATATTTATTCATGTTTGCAGTTTTTTAAACTGTTTACTAAGCATGGACATTAATCTTATGTTTTAATCCAATGGGGTCTCAATTCATACCCAGTAGGTAATTATAAAGTTTGAAATTTCTTTAATTTTTATATTAACTGTGATAAAAAAAGGAAATCAGACAACATATATCTGTGAGCCACATATTAAAGGCCAAAGAGCCACAATTGGCTTTCAAGCTGTGGTTAGCTCCTCCCTGGCGTAAATAAACATTGTTTTAAGCAAAGGGTAAACATTACTATTACAAAATCCAGTTAAATAAAGATTAAATTTACTAATGTACTTTGAAACACATCTCTCAGACAAATATTGGATTTTTAAGAGGTTTTTGAATTTGTTTTTTACATTCTTCATCCATAATGGCATTTGTACGAGTGAAGAGTAAATGTAAGGATATTTTTAAAATGTTTAAACATGTTATGTATATAGGAAAATTTATTTTTCTTTTCATAGCAATATTAGCTATAAGCTATTATCTTTCAGATGAGACCAACATTTTGCTAGTAATGAGGCATACAAGTTATTTTAAATGATTTTTAAATCTTTTTTTCGCTCAAATTTTGACATTCCAAAAGCTAGGCAGAGTATTACAAGACTGGAGGATTTTTTGGTAACAAAGAAAAGAGTGCTGAGCTGCTACGTGATATCTGTCCTCCTTTATGGCAGCCAATGTTGGACAGTCTTCTTAAAGATGAAGAAGAGACTCTGTGCAACTGAGGTATAGTTCTACATACGGATACTAAGGATATCATGGATGAGCGTGTGAGCAATGATGAGGTTTCGGTGAGGATGCAAACAAATATGAAGCTTATACTTAGCATCAGGAAGAGACAGGTCGAATAGATAGAAAGAAAGACAAGGGAAACAATGCATGACATACCTAGCAGGCTTAAGCAAGTGGTTGTCAGAACATTGTCTGGAGGAAGTAGCAAAGGGAGAGAACTTATTGAGAGCTACAAAGGATAGCAGGAAGTGGAGGGCTATGATTGCCTATGCCCTGAAGAAACATGGCACATAATAAGAAAAGATATAAAAAAGACATTAAAATATTGGTTCATGATTTAGTAAGTTCAATCCCAGGGCTGGGTAGTGCACAGTTAGAGTCAGCAGAAAAAAAAATGGGAGCAATAACTGAATAGTAAAAAAAAAAAGGTGAGAAAATCCCATGGATGGCAAAACAAGAACAATCTATTTCTGTAGATTAAAAAAAGAGTCCAGTTTAAAATTTCTTGAAGGTTAACTGGATCAACAAAAACCTGAAGATGGTCATAGGGCAAAAAAACTTTTAATCATTTCACCTTAGCAAAGCAATAAAGCCACTAAGACACAAGCAGGTTACTGGTTGTGAAAGAATAAAAAGAATAAAAGAAGAGGAATCAAGAAGACAGTAGATATCAATTAACTTAATGATGGACATTGCATTTAAACCTTTGAAGATCAAAATTGGCTGGAAAGCAAGAAACCGGAAGAGATTTCCACAAGAGAGAAGTGCAAGAGAAGAAACTGTTAGCAAAGAACTTACAGTTACATCTAGCTATTTCAGGTGTAAAATGATGGGACCTAGTTTCCAATCTAGTACTGCATTTAAATTCATAAAATCTAAGTATCATAGCGAAATGTTCATCAGAACATTTATCATGAAGGTACTTATAGAAATATATATTTACAGAGAAGCTACATAATGGTGATGGGAAATGACTGAAGCCAAGATGCCAGTTCATGATTCTTCATAGGGTTTTATCAAGAATCTTTAAATATATAGCAGGAGCACCAGACCATATGTAGCAGCAATATTTGAAGCATGCATGAATGGTAGACTTATAAATATGTTCAAAGATAGATTCTGAAGAAAACAATTGTCTATCATGACACAGTGAATCAACTTATCTAGCAAAAGACCTAACAATTGGTTAAATAAAATCTTTCCACTTCATGTGAACCCGAGAAGGCATATTGTGTAGCTCTCCTGGAGATTAGCATAAGCCATGCTGATGGAAAGCAGAAAGGGGTCTCTCAGATGATTAATAGAGAGCAGTTTTATTTTGGACGCATTAAAATTAACAAGCCATTCTTTGCCCCAGTTAACAAGAGATTTTAAGTCAATTCTCACATGGTGAAAACTATCCCTAGGGCAGCCTATTCCATGTTTAATTTCTTGGATTCAGGGTATATGATAAGTCAAATTTCATCTCAATTTCTCACCACCATAATGTAGATTCCCTATGCCTTTTCTATAAATACTTTCATGGTAATTTTTCTCATGCTTGTAAGTTTTACATTCTGAATTTTTATGATGGAATCAGGGCAAATGATAAGGCAAATTTCATTCCAATTTATCACCGCCATAGCGTAGCTTCCCTGCGCCTTTTCTATAAATTCATTCATCGTAATTGTTCAGATAAACTTTTCATTATGGCACTTATGACTTTATGAATTTAAGCACAGCTTTCATCAAATTTACAATTGAAATGGCTAGATGTAACCGTAAGTTCTATGCTAATGTCAGTCCTTATCTTCTGTCTTCTTAATTCCAGTTCTTCTGTTTTCCTCTCTCCCTAATAACAGTTTTTCTCATATTCTCTAATACTCAATAACCCCTTGCATCCTAATGGCTTTATTGTCTTGCTTGGGGTGAAATGATTAAAAGATTCCAGGTCAGAGTAAAGAAAAACAAGATGACAATAAAAACTGACAATGACCAGTTAATCTACAAAAGTTGAGAAGTCAGGACTCCTGGCTGGCCACTTATTACCAATGATCCCCCAATTAATCCAAACAGTCTTAGTTCAAACTATTTGTTGAATAATTATGACTGATCTTAAAATTTTAAACCTCATAATATGTCTTTGTGTCTATATATATATATCACAGAGCAGATGAAAAGATCCATCTATACACTCATATTCTTTCTATCACACAAACACACATTTATACACACTTCCACTTTTTTTGATACACAGGCACACCCTCTCTTTTGTCTCTCTTTTGCATCCACCCTCTCTTTGTCTATTTTACACACACACACATACATACATACATTTTTTTTTTAATTGGCATCATCCCATGTAAGGCAGTAAAGCCACTAAGACACAAGGGGTTAGAGGGTGTAAAAGAATTAGGAACAGAAACAATGAGTGGGAAGAGAAAAGAGTAATCAGGAGGATAGTAGTGATTGATATTGCATTTAAATTTTTGAAGATTAAACTTGGCTGGAAAGCATGGAGCTGGAGGGAGTTCCACAAGTGAGAAGTGCAAGAAAAGAAATTCTTAGCATAGATTTTACAGCTACATTTAGCCAGCCTCAACTGTCAATTGGATGAGATCTCGACACCAGTCTAGTACTCTGTCTTATACACACACATACACACACTCTTACTTTTGTATGTATATATATATATGAATATATATTTTAAGAATTAATAAATTAATTTTTAATCAAACATTTTTATTACTTCAAATGTTTTTAATGGATAACCATGTTTGAAATAAGCAACCTGTTTTTTTAAAAATATACACAGTTTAAAATAAAGAAAAAAAACAGGGTATGTAATTCAAATACTGGTATCCACTTAATGTTTGAAGTAGAATATATATATATATATATATATGCATAAACAGGGAGATTGAAAAGTAACTGCCCATTTTAAAATACTTATAATTTATTTATTAACTATAATTTTTACAAGAAATGGATATTGAGAGGAAAGCATTTAGCATGAGGTTTTATTTAAAATTCATTATGGTCAACAGATTTGGCTACCAGCTTCTCAAGCTGCCTAGGAATCATGTCAACTGATTTCCCTAGGAACTCTTGTGGTATGGAAGATATAACTTCTTGTATTCACTCTTGAAGTTCTTTCAAACTCTTGGTTTGGTACAGTAGACTTGCTTCTTTAACCAATTCCAAAGAAAAGAGTCACAGGTTGTTAAGTCAGGCCACTCATACATAAAATAGGGTGTTACTTTTCAATCACCCTGTATATATCACTCACACACACACACATATATATATATATATATATATATATAATATGTTACTATTCCTGGATATGAGAGCTTGTTTTCATTTTCAATTCTTGCCACGCCTATATCAATGTTGACATTGATAAAAAAAAATACAAGACACTTTATTTTTTTAGAATTCTTTCCACAATAACCAAAGGCTTATGCCCATATCACATTCAAACACTAGTTCTTGGTTCTCATATGATCACCAAAGTTAAGCAACGTTGACTCTGCTCAGTACTTATATGGGTGACCACTTCAGAATAATAGGAGCTGTAAGGTTGGATTTGTGGGTGGTGTCATGGATAATGGCATAGAATTGTTAATTTGAGAGTTCCAATTCCAGTTAGGTTTGTTATATTCACTTACATGATAATACCCATGAGAGAGGTATGAATCCACATTTTTTCCCCAGCTATGGATTAATTAGTAAGACTTGTATCAGTGAATCATTATTATCTTAAAAAAAAGTTTTCAATTTTTTTATGGCTTTGAATAAGCTGCAAAAGGTTGATAATGAAAACTTGTTTATAAATGTCACAGTTTTTATATTCTTTGCTTAATGTTATTAGTCATTTATTGTTATCTGAAAGTAAGTGGTTATCTCTCTATTAAAATGGAGAAAGATAGACAGAGAAGGACAGAGACAGCAAGAGGAGAGAAAGGAAGATGGACAGCAAGAGAGAGGGCATTGAGGAGAAAGAAATAAAGATAGGCAGAGAAAGAGAGGAACAGCATGTGGAGAGAAATTAAAATGTTCTGTGAGGGAGAGGGAGAGTGAGGGGAGAGAAAAGAAGTCTGGCAACAATGAGAGAGAAAGAAAGATGGGTAGATAGATAGAGAGAGAGAGTGAGTGAGAGCAAGGGAAAGAAAGAAAGAAAGAAAGATAGGTAGTGAAGGGAGAGAAAACAAGACGGGCAGAGAGGGAGTGGAACAGCAAGGAGAGAGGAAGAAAAATGGAGAGTAAGGGGAGAGAAAGGAAGAATGACAGAAGCAAGTACAGCATGTGGAGAGAAATAAAAGTGTGCTGTGAGAGGAAAGAGAGATGGACAGTGGGGAGAAAGGAAGGAAGTTGGGTAGAGTGATAGAGACAGCAAATGTGAGAAAGAAAGATGAGCAGTGAGGGGAGAGAAAACAAGATGGGCAAGAGGCAGTAAAAAGAGAGAAAGCAAGATGAGTGGTGAGTGAGAGGAACATTGAAGAGAGAGAAAGGAAGATGGTAGATAGAGAGAGAGAGAGAGCAAGGGAAAGTAAGAAAGAAAGAAAGAAAGAAAGAAAGAAAGGTAGTGAAGGGAGAGAAAACAAGATGGGCAAGGGGCAGTAAAAGGAGAGAAAAAAGATGAGAGAAGAACATTGAAGAGAAAAGGGAAGATGGGTAGAGAGAGAGAACAAATAAAAGAAAAGAAAGAAAAGAAAGGTAGTGAAGGGAGAGAAAACAAGATGGGCAAGGGGCATTAAAAGGAGAGAAAGCAAGATGAGTGGTGAGTGAGAAGAACATTGAAGAGAGAGAAAGGAAGATAGGTTTCAGAGAGAGAGAGAGAGAGCAATGGGAAGAAAGAAAGAAAAAAAAAGTGAAGGGAGAGAAAATTTGAGATGAGTTTTGAGAGAGAGGAACATTGAAGAGAGAGAAAGGAAGATGGGTAGATAGAGAGAGAGAGAGAGAGCAAGGGAAAAAGAAAGAAAGAAAGAAATGTAGTGAAGGGAGAGAAAACAAGATGAGCAAGGGGCAGTAAAAGGAGAGAAAGCAAGATGAGTGGTGAGAAGAACATTGAAGAGAGAGAAAGGAAGATGGGTGGAGAGAGAGAGAGAGAGAGCAAGGGAAAGAAAGAAAGAAAGAAAGGTAGTGAAGGGAGAGAAAGCAAGATGAGTGGTGAGTGAGAGGAACATTGAAGAGAGAGAAAGGAAGATGGGTAGATAGAGAGAGAGAGAGAGAGAGCAAGGGAAAGAAAGAAAGAAAGAAAGGTAGTGAAGGGAGAGAAAACAAGATGGGCAAGAGGCAGTAAAAGGAGAGAAAGCAAGATGAGTGGTGAGAAGAACATTGAAGAGAGAGAAAGGAAGATGGGTAGAGAGAGAGAGCAAGGGAAAGAAAGAAAGAAAGAAAGAAAGAAAGAAAGAAAGGTAGTGAAGGGAGAGAAAACAAGATGGGCAAGGGGCATTAAAAGGAGAGAAAGCAAGATGAGTGGTGAGTGAGAAGAACATTGAAGAGAGAGAAAGGAAGATAGGTAGATAGAGAGAGTGAGAGAGAGAGTGAGAGCAATGGGAAGAAAGAAAGAAAGGTAGTGAAGGGAGAGAAAGCAAGATGAGTGGTGAGTGAGAGGAACATTGAAGAGAGAGAAAGGAAGATGGGTAGATAGAGAGAGAGAGTGAGAGCAAGGGAAAGAAAGAAAGATAGGTAGTGAAGAGAGAGAAAGGAAGATGGACAGAGAAGTAGAGGGACAGCATCTTCTGTTCTCTCCCCTCTCTGTCCGCTTCACGCCATAATTGTCCGTGTCTATCTGTCAATCTTTCTTTCTCCCCCTTGCTGCCAATGAATTGACCAAAGAAAATCACAGCAAAGAATAAAAGACTGAAAGAAATAAAATTTCAAAGATTGCAGCGTCTTTCACTATCATAACCTTGTTCCAGACTAAACTCAGGTATGCAACTATGTTGTCTAGCTGACGTAAGAAAATATCTCTTCAGGCACCTTCCTTAGAACATTAAAAAACTTGTCTGATAAACCATTTATTTATACAGTGATTTTAATTCTTACTGAGCATGGTGGAGTAATAGATAGTGGCTCGGATTGAGGAATTGGAGAGCTGAGTTCTAATTCCAGTCAAATCCATTACATTCACTTATGTGTCAATACCCTTGGGAAAGGTATGAATTCTCTTCTTCTCCCCCCCCCATGTATAGGTAAATAGCAAGACAGACCAGGTTCTATAGTCTTGGATGAAAGATACATGATCGACTAAGCATGTATCACACATGGCACATAACTGACCGACCGACTGACTGACTGACTGGGCACCACATAGTTCTAAACCTTGTGCTAGACCCCTACTAAGTAAATATCAGGTTAGGCTCATTGGTTTTAAAACATGTAAACCTTTGTTGGGTTATTTAATGTTAAATTTTGTATAGGGCACTCTGTGGGGATCAAACTCACTACTCAGTAGTAATGGTCAACCAGACAAGCCGCATTAAACATTACACAACACTGAGAGACTTGGCGATGATTTCACTTTGGAAATGTATTGCTAATGATTTCAGGTTAGGCTGGTTGATTTTTCCACATGTCAACACTTGTTTGGGACGTGCAGGTGATGTAATGGCTAGCAATTTGAATTGAGAAATTAGAAAGGCAAGTTCAAATTTCAGTCATATTACATTCACTTATGCACAGATACTCTTGGGAAAGATATAAATACCTCTCCCTCACCTATGGGTTAAACAGTAAAATTTGTATCTGGGAAAAGACCATTGCTATTCCCCCAAAAGTTGTTCATGTAATATTAACTCACAAAAAAAAGAATTATTCTTTGAATGCAAAATATTTTATTGGCTTTAAATAACCCACAAATAGTTAACAAGCTGTAAAAACATGGGATATTTACTGGTGAATTTTTTATGGGGCACCCTGTTAGGACCAAACTCTTCTTTCTATGCACTGTATCCTTTCAAGATACAGGCAATCATGCCTTTTCACCTCCCCCTATCCCTTGCTGCTCTCAACAAGTTCCTTCCCTCTGCCACCTCCCCCAGATCACGTTCTGTCATCCACTTGCTTAAGGCCGCTAGGTATGTTATGCATTGTTTTCCCTTGTCTCTCTTTCCCTCTGTTTGATCCCAGAGTATCAGATTCTCCAGGCCGTCTTTCTTCATTATGTGTTCAGCTGCCTCTCCCTGATGTTAAGTATATGCCTCCTCCTTGTTTGTAAACTCTCTAAGACCTCATTGTTGCTCACACACTTGATCCATGATATCCTTAGCATCCTTCTATAGAACCACATCTCCATTGCCTCAAGTCTTTTCTTCATCTTTGAGGAAATCATCCAACATTCGCTGCCGTATAGAAGAACAGATATCACATAATAGCTCAGTATTCTTTTCTTCGTTATCAAAGAAATCCTGTCTTGCAAAACTCTGCCCAGTTCCTTGGCCATTGCAATACGTCTACAGATCTCAGTGTCACATTTACTGCCTTCTGTCAGAATGCTTCTCAGATATTTAAATTCCGCATCTGTTTGATTCTAGTGTTCCCGATCTGCAAATCGCATTTCGAACTCATCCTTTTACTGATGACAATGTGTTCTGTTTTCTTGTAGTTTATGCTTAGTCCCTTCTTCACACTTTCTGTCGCATTCTAAATGGCCAAACATACAAACCTCATTAATGATTACTCCCATACCAAGGAACATAGAAATATGAACAGCCTTGACAGAGAAAGGAAATTGGTAAGTGAAAATATCTCAAAAACAAATTTTAATGCAATAGTCCTTTGCTACTATTAATGTTTCCATTATTTTTAGCCTTGTTTTTACACGTGAATGAGGCTATTATAGTTGTATTTTCTAAGAGTATGCTGCAGATAGGGTATAGTAGGTTTCCATGTGTGTTTACAGAGAAACAATATTATCTATGAATTCACATACCCCTTAAGGAACTGCATTTCTGATCAAACCAAATTAATGAATAATTATGTTGGACATATCACTACATGCCTATCAAGAAGACTCACTTTACATCTCTCTGACCATAGCTTAATTAGGACTCATTTAAATACACATGGAAACCCGCAGACTCCATCTGAAAAATACTCTTAGAAAATACATCTATAATCCACCTCATCCACATGTAAAAAAGGCTAAAAATAATCAAAGCATTAATAATCCCTAAAACCGCCAAAATGTAACTGCTCTCATTTAAACATCTGAGAGAACCCTTTTTATCCTCCATTAACATGGCTGATGCTAACATCCAAGTGAGTGACACATTGCACCTTCTCAGACTAATGTTTTCTGCTGATATGAGGTGGAAAGAGTATATTGAATCAATTGCTTAATCTTCAGCCAGGTAAGTTAATTCACTATGTCAAGTGAGACAATTTTTCTAGCCAGAATCTATCTTACATATTTATAAGACTACCATTTCTCCTTGCTTTGAATATTGTTGTCACATATGGTCTGTTGCTCCTGCTATATATTTAGAGAATCTTGATAAAATCAAAAGAAGAATCTGCAATGTCATCAGTCCTGATCTGGCATCTTGGTTTCAGTCACTTTGTAAACTGCTTTCTTGAGTGGTTTGTAACGCATTATCTATCATCTCTCAGTTGCGTCTCTGTCTTTGGGCAGAGTGCACTCGGTGGGGTGACTCCATCAAAGGACAGAGTTGCAACTAAAGAAAATTATACTGAGAGGTGACCAGCCCTGGGTAACAGCTGCCTGAGACTATGGCCTCTCATTGCATCAGAGAGAAGGATCGGTGCTCGCATCGAGGCAAATGCAACCAACGATTGCGGTGGGCTGCAGGCAATTCTTGTTCCTTGCCTGAGCGTACAAGCTCGGGTACCCACCTTAAAGAAAGACCTTTTGTCACAACTTATCTTAGTGGGGAGGCAGTAAATATCTAGTAATATTGTTTTCCTGTGTCTTTTCTAAAAAATAATTTCATGGTAACTGTTCTGAATTTCTTCTACAGTACCTAAACTTTATGAATTTAAATGCAATACAAGATTGGTGCCAAGGTCTCATCAATTTACAGTTGAAATGGGTAGATGTAACCATAAGTTCTGTGCTAACAGTTTCTTTTCACGCACTTCTCCCTTGTGATACTCTCTTCTGGCTTCCCTGTAAACTTTTATCTTCAAAAATTTAAATCAGTCATTATCTTCTGTCTTCTTAACCCCTGGTCTTTTATTATCGTCTCTTCTTACTAGTATATTTTTCTCATATTCTCTGACACTCAGCAACCTCTTGTATCTTAGTAGCTTTATTACCATGCTTGGATGAAAATGATAAAAAAAATTCAAAAAGTAAATGCTAAGACTCAACAAAATTAACTATGAACATGGTCACAATGTGTTAACCATGTTTGAAAAATAAAAAACATTTTAATCATTATAGATAGATATATAAAAATCTACACATTAAGTTATATATATATATATATGTAAGAATAAACTTTATAATAATAATAATAATAATGACAGAAGACAAAATAGTAATAAAATAAATGAAAGAAGTGAAGAAAAATGCAAATGGTGGACACTGGAAAGAGATAAAACAAAAACCAAGAAGAGAAAATTTGATATTGATTTGTTTTCAGACAGTCATCTTTTTTCTTAGTTGGTTTTGTCACTTTTCCCTATGGTACTTTGTACAATACTACCACTAAACAGACTAAGACTCATGACCAACCAACCATCATCACTGATAATTTTCCTGTATTATATTATTTCAAGCAACATCACATCGGTTCATCATCATCATCAGACCTTTCTGTCCGTGCCAC